GCGTTGGTGGACATGCATGGAGGGGAACTTGTAATTTAGTCTGTAAATACGGCGGAGGATTTTTCTTTCGCATGCAGCTATTTTTTCAAGGGATTTTATTGCGAGTGTCGCGTAGATGGGTGCTCTGTAGTCGATAATTGGGCGTATGTAGGTGTTGTAGGTGAATTTTAGGGTTTCGGGGTTACAGCCGCGGATACGGCCACGGATGTGGTAGAGGAGGTTGAAGCGGTTTCGGACCTTTTTAAGGCTGGTTTGCAGTTGTGGGAGAAGGTTATACCCAAAGATCGGACTGTGTTTTGTTTGGGGATTTGTTCGGCATCCAGTGTTAGTCGCGATTTTCGGAATTTTCGTTCTTTTGTGAACGCGCGTGGGTAGGACATGCAGATAGATTGGGATTTGAGGGGATATGGTTTGACTCTCCAGTCGTTGGTCCATTTCTCGGCTCGTCTGAGTGCTTTCTGGGTTAGGAGAATGGTTCTGTCGGGGTTTCTGTGGGAGGCCCAGATCGCAATGTCGTCAGCGAACATCCTCGTCTTGGTCCTGGGCGCGTCTGCAAATGGAAAATCGCTGCAGTATACGGAGTATAGAATGGGGGAGAGAACGGAGCCCTGGGGGACTCTTGCTCTAATGTTGACGGGTTGTGAGAGGGTGTTGTGGATTTTGACTCTGCAGGAACGGTTATAAAGAAACGAGTCTAGGAGCATGATAAATTTTGGGTTGATTTGGCGTTTAATGAATTTGTAGATGAGTCCGTCGTGCCAAACCTTGTCGAAGGCCCGCTCGATGTCTAGAAAGACGGCGATTGTGCACTCCTTGAGGTTGGCAAAACGGGAAGTCTGGAGTTCTAGAATGGGATTCATTGTGGAGCGTTGAGAGCGGAAGCCAAATTGTTGTTGGGGAATGATGTTGTTGGTTTCTAGGAAAGTTTTTAGGCGATTTGTTAGGATCTTCTCGAAAATTTTGCCCATGATGTTTAGGAGTGAGATTGGGCGGTAAGAAAGAGGGTTGTGGGGGTCAAAGGCAAAGTTTAGGAATCATTATGGTAGAGGCTTGTTTCCAAGAAATCGGGAAGTACGAAGCGTTGATACAGTTATTGAAAATGGTGGTTAGGGCTTGGAGGGGTGTTTGTGGGAGATTTTTGAGACGAATGGCTTTAATTTGGTCGGGGCCTGGTTGACTAATTTTCTGCCGTTGCGATTTGTAACGGTATCATCAAAATCTGTGTGTCGAGAATTGAAGTCGGCGATTAGAATGGCGTTGAGGAGTTGTGAGGAGATGGTTTCACTTGGTGGATTATAGTAACAGATTATGGTTATTGAGATGCTACTTATTAAGACGTTAGCAACGATGGCTTCAAGATTTGCGAGGTTGTGTGGGAGGTCATGTTGGACGGATGGGAATTTTCTGGAGATAAGGAGGGCCGTTCCGCGTGCGTTCGGGATGATAGAATGGCGTTGGTATTTTATTAAGCGGGGAAATTTAATTTCACGTTCGGTTTTGGTTTCTTGTATTGCAAGGATATGGATGTTGTCAGTTTGGATAAGGTTTTTGACGGCATTTACTTTGAAGGTTAGGCAATTGACATTGATGGTTGAAATGTTAATGTGGGTTGGGTTGGGATCGTGCGTGCGGTTCGGAGGCTGTGAGAGGGGGATGGGGGCTGCACGTTGGATGGGTGGCCCAACGTGCAGCGAGGGCGGGGGAACATGCATGTTAGGTTGTGTGGTCATTAGAGGTCAAAGGTTATGAAGAGGCGGTGTCCTGAATGGTTGAATTGGGGGGTTATTTTGAAGATGGCTTGGGATGCGTCTTTGATGGCGGACTGGGTTTCGGACTTTTCGTGGGGGAAGAGGTCAAAGAGTAGTTTTCTGGTGTAGGCTACGAGGGCTTTTGCGTGGATGGTGGACACGTTGATTTCGACTGGTTCGGGAACGTCGTCGAGGGGGTCGACAGGGTCGGCGAATTCGGCTGGTGGGTTTATGATGTAGGTCGGGATTGTCGGGGTCTCAGGGGTTACAGTGAGTTTTTCAAACTCGGAGCACTTCCGGGACCATGCTGGGTGGTTGCCGTGGCAGAACGGGCATTGCGGGTCGGTTTTGGGGCATTTATTGGGTGCATGTGTGTCGGGACAGGTAGGACAAATGGGTTTTTTGTTGCACTCGGAGGCGGTGTGCCCAAGTATGAAGCACTTTGGGCAGTGGACAGGTGTGGGTGGTGGTGGGTGTGAAGGCTCGCATGGGTGGTGGCGGCCGAAGAGAGGCCTGAGTTTAAGAGGGTGTCGATGGTTTGGGGGTCGCTGGAAATAACGCGGACTAGCAGGGTGGGTTTGTTGGTTTTCTTGGAGACGATCCTCCAGATTTTGTGGATTTTCAGGTCTACAGAGGTGGCGTGGTTAACGATGTCCATCTCTTCGATGCTGATGTCAACATCGCGGACTACTATGGAGAAGTAGGGAGATTTTTTGGTGTTTCGTTGGTGTCTGTTTCTGGGGTTTATGGTGACGATGGTGACGCTAGCGTCGGAGCATGCCCTTTGAAGCTGGGAATGGAAATTGGGCGGCAATTCGCTGCGTGTGATTAGGAGGGCGGATTTGTTGAAGTTCGCTTTCAGAACTTCGATGTCGCGGTCTAAGAGGTGGGTAGTTAAGAGGGTGTAGAGATGTTTTTGGGGGGCGAATTTTGTGGGAATGTTTTGGATTGAGTACTTGAAGTACTCCTGGGGTTCGGATTCTTCAGAGATGTGGGAGACTACAGTGGAGTTGGAGTTCGAGCGTTTCCTTGTTGGGGAGAGGTTGAAGTCGTCGGAGGTGTGAAACTCACGACAGGTGCGGCGGTCGGGGCTTTTGGTGGATTGTTTTGCTTTGGGGTTGCCATCCTTAAAATTTAAGTTGGACTCGCCGGGTTTTCTAGCTGGTCGTTTCGACGTCGAAGCCTGGGAGCTGGAGCTCTGGGTTCGCTGTAAGCTGTTCTTAATTTGATCATTAAAATAGATCAATCAATTTTTTGACTCCCCCTGTGTAAGAAATTCTAAAAAATATTGAATGCATTGATAAAAATTTTGAGATGACGTATTTAATTTTTTGGAGAAGAACGGCTAAAATTTGATTAACTATCTATTCATCATGCTAACGATAATATTAAAATGTTTACAAGATTTCTGAGCATTCGGTTTTGTAGTTTCAAAGTTGAATTCCAAATGTTGTGATACAATGTTGATTTTTTTTGTTTTCAAAAATTTGGATGTCTAGGGTAAAAACTCAACACGGATTCGTAAACCACAAGTATAGGAGTATTTTATTTTATAAAATTTAAATAAGATTTACTATTGTAAATTTTGGAGATGACGTCATCCCGTGGGTGGTGGGGATCATTAAAAAAATTTTGGTTAGCATGATATTCCTAAAATACATATAAAATCGTCCGTTTATTTGACATTAGTAGTTGCATATGTTTTAGTAGCATTTCTTGGGCTTACCCCAGAAAGTTCAGATCAAAGCAACTTCCATAGGAGGCTGGATTTTTACGTCCGTTTGCTTGACATTACATCTCATTATTTTCATTAAAATATAAAATCGGACAATAATCGGTCCAGTGCTTTCTGGGATTATCTGTCGAACAAAAATTGACACAAATGTGTACAGACGGCAGAGGGCAAACAGACAGACGAAAACTACAGAACTATTTTCCTATTCTGGGAGTCATGAAACGTCGAGAAATATGAAAGCATCCAGTCGTCCGATGGATTCGATTACCATACTTCCTTAGCTTAGAGCTCAAAAAATCGTTCAGCAACCATTGAAATTTCATGTTGAAAAAATTATGTTGGCAATAGCAATGCGTTCCTTGATAGGTTGACACATACTGTCAAATCGTTACAAAAATTAACATCATTATTTCAAAGAAAAATTTCATAGCCTACTCGATGACCTTTTTTCGATCCTATGGTAAAGTTTGGCTACTGGTATTTGGAGATGACCTCACTGCGGATAATGCGCTGTAAATGTGTCTATCATGACTGTGTTTAGCGAAGTTTACAAATTTTTAGAGTCCTCGCAGGTAAAGAAGTACTATGCAAACAGTGACAGGTCAAATATACCGAACACATTAGAACAGTTTTTTTGGAAAAGTCCTTACAAAACGTTATAATTACTATGTAAGTAGTATTAATGGTAACAATTCATCATTTTCGTTAAGTTTTCTCTGAAGTGACAGTCATTAAGTTATTATTATTTTTTATTATTTCTTATACATATGTATCGTGTGTATAAGTTTATGATGTATCTTTTTCAGTAAGTCTATATTTTACTTTTTGCTACTTCGTATAGCTATTAAGGCAACTAGTGTTTTACAGACAGTTTAAAAATCAAGAACGTAGTTAAAATCCGAGCGACCGAAGGGAGCGAGGATTTTATAGAGCGAGATTTTTAAACTATAAAATACGTGTTGGCTTCAAGATTTTTTCAAACACTAACAGTAATTCATCAACTCCTTTTTGATCAATTCATTACTACAAATTTTGACAAATCATTTGTGAAGCTTCATAGTATCATAGTAAGATTGCTGTGTATTGTAACTATGACAAGTAAACAAATTTTGAAAAAAACAATTTTCATTTTCAAAATGTGCGAAAACGTTCCGGAAGAAATTGCGAAAAAGGGAAAAGAATTGCGAAGCAATTTGTTACCCTTAAAGTCAAAAAATGCATACGAGAAAGTATATGTTTCGTTCCAAGACTGGAAAAATAAAAACCGCATCAAGGAAGTAACCGAAGATGTTATCTTGGCTTTTTTGGACATGAGAGTGAGTACATATTTAGTAAAATTCATAAAACTAAATTATTTAACAATTACAGTCGCAAAAGTTGTCACCTTGTTCTTTATGGCCAGAATATTGAATGTTAAAGGCCATTCTAAAGAAAAAAGAAAACATAGATATTGAAAAATTTGGTGTTGTTATTTCGTATATAAAAAAATTAAATGTTGGTTATTGTGGCAAAAAATCCAACGTTCTGACACGAGAAGAAATCAAAACTTTCTTACAAGAAGCTGATGACGGAGAATATTTATTCGAGAAGGTAAGAATTACTTAATAAGAAGTATTTTTTATACATATGAAATCGTGTAGGTTGCTTTAATTTTTGGAATTGCCGGAGCTTGCAGAAAGGCCGAATTGTGTGCTATGAGATTTGACGATATACAAGATTGTGGTAATGTTCTGAATATTGTTATACCTGACAGTAAAACCCACAAAGAAAGAAGATTCAGTGTAGTTAATGAAGGCTTTGGTGTTAATACCATTGATTTGTATCGACGTTATGTTGCTTTACGACCCACAAATTCACCATTGGGGTTTTTTTACACTATTATAAAGGTAAATGTACTCGCCAAAATGTAGGAATTAACACCTTTGGAAAAATTCCCAGAAAAATTGCAACTTTCCTCAAACTGGAAAATCCAGCTAAATACACAGGCTGGTCATTCTTTTCGCCGCAGTTCGGCAACTCTCCTGCTTAACGCAGGTATTGTAATGATTACCTTTATTCTTCAAAGTAACTTTATATTCAATGCAGGCGGAGACATTACTTCGTTGAAGAGGCATGGCGGGTGGGAATCGACCAAGGTGGCAGAATCTTACATACAAGAATCTTTTGGAGAAAGAGTGAAAATTGCTCAAAAAATTTTTGGAGATGAAAAGCTGGCACCGAATGAATTAGTTGACAATGAAATCGTTATGGACAAGCCCACGAACCTAAGTTACAGTGAAGCGTGTGGCAGCTCCAGTTCTAGCTCTAGTACTAGCAAGAACACCGCTCAAAATGTTTATTTTGAATAATCGTACTTTTAACTTTGGTGATAATTATTGTAAAGATTCGAAATAAAAAACTTGAAATATGCGAAATCGTATTTTAAGAAGCTATAAGATACGTTGCCATTGACAGCGTACTTTAAGAGAACAACGTTATTTTAAATCAAAGTTCACATACGAGTTCTTATGAACCATAGAAACAGTATAAGATGTTAGTGTTTGAAAAAGTATTTTTTTTGCATTTCTTTTCTGTGAATGTTAATTCTGTCAACTACAGCCCCTATATTTTCATTGAAAACTAACTGAGTCATTTTGTAGTTGCCACTAAACCTACAGTTGTGGCATCAATCTTCATAACAAATGATAAAATTTCACTGAACACAGAACATTTTTGAGTATATTTTTAATTGGTAGGAAGGTAATGGTGTTGCTTTGTCGTGTGTATGCAAAAGTTTGTTAACTAAAGTATACAACTTGTCGTAATCTCGAGAAACAAATTAACTTTGAGATAGGAAATTGACTGTTATATTGTCACTTATAAGTATCTTCACTGGTGAGTTCCTTTCGATTGGGATGTGAAGTAGCATCCCACTGTACTTATTCCTTAGACTGGTGTGCATAAAGTCGATTTTGGGAAGTTACTTTTTATTATCACTTGAGGTCAAACTCCACATAATTAATTCATTATGAATGTAGTGCTTTATTAAAGCAAGGACATGTTTCCAGAAACCTCTGTTATCATCTTCAGCGTAATAAATCAAATGAAATCAAGTTTTCAACTTCTATGTAAATTTAACGAGTCCGTAAAGATCTCGTTAATTTCAGGTGTTCCCCAAGGATCTATTTTAGGCCCCGAACTTCGGCTCGTTCGTAATTAACGATTTGTCGAGGATATTAAATCTGAAGATTTGATGTAGAAACTTAAAGATTGTCCGGCATATTTCATGAAACTTCAGGAAGATTTTGACACCTTTCTGTATTGGAGTCAACCTAACAACTTACCGGTAAACTATTACAAATGCCGCATTATGCCAATGACAAATAATAAATATAAAATATTTTATGCCTATACTGCCGATGCAACTGTGTTATTAAATCTTTTGCAAAGAGATGGGTTTTAACACTCTAAAATCTAGGCGTGTTAAAGCCTCACTGTCGTATGTTAAAAAAAGTATTATGAGATCCATTGCTCACAACTGCTAATCAGATCTGTTTTGGTATACCTAAATTTTCCTCTCATTACGAGCAACAATTCTAACTGGCAACACTACGTATTAATATTCATAAATGTTCGCCCTTATATGAAATGTGCTCTAATTATTATCATAAAAATCATGATAACATCGAATGAAATATTTAAATAAATTTATTTATTCATTTATTTTTTTATTTTGGTTTAACTCGCCTCTCTAGGATATGCAGTAACATAGTAGCTGCTTACTGTGTTAGACATTGATTACCTATTATATATTTTGACATAGACTGTAATTCGTCGTTCGATCTATCTGAAACAACAGTATACTTTACAAACGATTGCACTAATATTTTAACATTAAAATTATGCAATATATTCACAAATGAAGCATTAGCAGTATTAATTATTTTTATTATATGTTTATTTAAAAACATTTAAAAATATGTAACAACTCAATTAATAATTGTTGGGTTTATAATAGGATTTATATGATCGTTTTTCGGGTTCAACGTTTCGCACACTTTCGTAAGTAGCATCTTCAGGAGCACGGTTGAGAAATTAGAAATAAGGCAAAAGACCACGGTAACTCAGTATGTCAACCATACCAGAGGTGAAACTCTTCTGGCGGGAAGAATGTGGTTGTGGCCTTTTTCTAGAGACGTGGTGGGGGAAACCGTCGTGGCTGAAGCTGATTGGACGGCTCCGGGCGGAGTGGGGGAAGATAATCAAACAATTGCATCCAGAGTGGGCTTCCAAATATTTGACAGATAATAAACATTGTCTCAGTTGAGATTATGAGGACATTTATGGATGTGGTGCTTTGGACAGAACTTGGGAATTTTCAAACACAATGGTGTGACCGGTTGCATGTTGGTGTTCAGCTACGGCAGAGTGGGACAGAAGACCTGTTTTGAGACAACGTTTGTGCTCTTGAATTCGAATTATTATGAACCGACCAGTTTCTCATATATATTTTACAGCAGGGAACGCTGTAGCTTCCTCTGCAGTCTAGAGCTTGGCGAGAATCTTTGACAGAAGGAAGAATTTGTGCAAGTTTTGTTGCAGGTTTGAAGATTGTTTTGCCTTTGGAGGAGTTTGGACAGACGGTCGGTGACCTGAGGAATGAATGGGAGATATGCAGTCGATACGAAATCAGTTGGGCGATTTGAAGTATTGTCAGAGTTGGGATTAAGCCGACGTTGAATAGCAGACTTGATGTGTGGTGGTCGTATCCATTTTGTTGGAGAGATGTTTGGAGATGTTCTAATTCTTTTTGGACTTTGTCCGGTTGACAAATGGTAGTGGCTCGATGAATTAGGGAGTCAATGACAGACTGTTTTTGGGCGGGGTGGTGGTGAGACGTAGCGTGAAGATATCGATCGGTATGGGTAGGTTTTCGATAGATTGAATGACCAAGTCGGCCTTCGGGTTACCTGGTTACCATAACATCAAGAAAAGGAAGACAATTGTTGGTTTCCACCTCCGTGGTAAACTGAATATCGGGGTGTTAACTGTTGAGATGGTCGTGCAAAACTGAAAGACGTTGGGTACATTTGCCTGTAGGTAGGGACAAATTCGCATAAGTTCAAAATTTGGAATATTCTGTAAGGTTCTCACGCAGCAGAGAGAACGTAGCTAGATTGGTTTTAAAACGAAAATAGAGAATAGTTTTATAGAAGTAACTATTATTGCACCATTTGTACCACGTTGGAAATTTAGTGGAAGAAGAAAAATACACTTTTAAGATTACGAGTACTTTACTGTCCAAGAAACAGGTCAGAAGTCATCCTTTAATAGTTAGAGTTCAGGTTAGGTAAAGCAACTTAAGAAATAACAATTTCTATTCCAATTACTCTATTGTGTTTTCACGACAAAAATTTTCTTGTCAATTGTAATTAATATGCGTAAGGTTTTCAAGCAACAAATACAAATAGTTAGATATCCCGAAACTGTCTTAGTGAAAATTGTTGCAGTGGTTAAGAACTGAGTAAGAGTAGATTAATTTATTATATGACTAGTTCTGTTGCATATTTGTATGTGAATTATTATTGTTTACGTCTTCGGATTAACAAATTTTTATATCTAGACACCATCAAGTTTTAGAAAAAATTAAATAATAACATCGTCATAATTTTCCTAATAACTGAAGGGACGCTTCAATCATCCCTAGTCCGTTCATCTTTGACCATATTTATTCCTAATCCACTTCGTCGCTTACCCTTTTTGTTTCCGACTGTTCTGTTTCTGTACTTGACTGTTTTGTTCCCGACTTGTTCATCTCGGAAAAATCTTATTCAAAGATAAGTTGCAATATGCATTCTGAAAGCAACAGTATCAGAGGATGAAAGCAATCAATAAACCACAAATTACAATTCTCTTTTGGATCAATTATACCTACTGCAAAACGGTTTGATATCTATCTTCCAAAAGCAAATAAAAAACAAGTTCAGCACCATTTAACTTAGCAAAAAGTTTGTCAATGTAGTTAAACGGATGGAAACAATACGTCTGCACCAAAACAGAAATAGGAATATGCATAAATAAAATAGTGCACAACAATTATAGAAATTTTTGATGTTTTTCGTTTAAAAATAAATTTGTTACCGATATTTATTATCTATATTTCTCTATTTAATGATCTAAAATAATGTAATAGTCATTTTTTTGCTACGGTTGAAAATTTGTTAAAAGATTCATCAAAATCACAAATGGCATGTGTAATGCCCAACGGAAAATAAACTATTAAGACTCAAACCCTATAGAACCCTTTTATAAGTATGATACAAGTTCTGTGTATATCCTAACATATTTTAAACACAGTGGAATAATTAATACTCCTTTCACTGTCATAATAAAATTAAGTCGTGATTTCATGTACCGAAACAAAATTAATAAGTTTATAAAGTTAATAGCAAATTTCTGCTGTAGTTTAAATTAGTTGCAAACTTGCTTGAATTTGAACTTCTCTACAAAATGGTGGAGGCGCCGGGCAAAACATGATGTATTTATTAATTATGATAGATTAATTTACTACAGTAATTTTAATACGAAACATTTTTTACGATTGATTCCAAATGACTTATTATAGAATATAGTAAAATTCTATGTACTGTGCAACGACCAAATGAAAACCGTTTTGTAGAGCAAATTACGCCTCTTTTTTATTTGATAACTTGTACTGCAACTAGTAAAAAGAATGTTACCTTATTAAAATTATATAAAGGTAAAAATATCTGTTAATTATTCAAAATTAAATATGTGGCAAATTAAGGAAAGTGATTTAGTTATTATTAATTAATTTGAATTTCTAATATGAACAAGTATAAACAAGAAACAAGAAACATTGTTTTCAGATTGAAGTTACAACATGAATGAGTTAGGAAAGTTCATTTAAATCAAACCTAAATATGTTTATTTTGATGTACACCATGGAAAATTAACATTAAATTTAAAAAGTCTTAAAATTTTAGAACACTTTTACTGAAGTAAAGGTATATTATTGAAGCAGACGTAACGCCGCTAGACCAATTCTTCAATACAAAATCTATTTAATAGTAATTTTTTAAGATAATTCCGTAATATTTCCTCAGATGATAAATAAACAAATGTTAGTTAATTCTAACTTCTCTCGAATTTAATAGACTCCAAGATAACCTCTTTAAATGTTAACGGTAAACGGTTCTTCTCTTTCGGAGTTTATCTGTCTTAATAAAATCACAAACCAACGATACATGGAATACAGACGTTAGACAGAGAATTTATATTTTGTGACGTTATTCCATTAGAATACTAGTAAATAATATACTTCTACTAAATTATTTTTTAAATTGATTTTTTCTAGAAAATAAATTTAATCGCTCATGCTCAACGTTATTTTTGGAAATTGTGTTTTTGATCGTTAAAACTAATACGAACAAGAAAATGCTGTGTAATTTTTGTATCAATGTCTTCGAAAATTTCAACAGCAATTAGTAATGAGTAAATTTATTTGTTCTTTCATATGCATTGTATTCCACATATTTTGTTACTACTGAGATATAAAGCAAGGTATTTGTTTCGTTTTTTATTTATAAACTTCACTGCTATGATAAATGACTGAGCAATATTGTTGGATGTACTATAACTTTATTACTTAACAGTTTTATTAACTGACCTATGTACTGAAATGACCGCTTATGAATGTGCAATCTGATTCCAATCTACCAATTCCTGACCTATCAGATTGAGTTAACTGCTCAATATTTGAATTGAAATTATTATTGAATAAAATGCTACTACTTATACGTCTCACTTAAATTTAATTGTTAACATTAATTTGCTGCGTTTGTTGTTTTTTCATACGCAGTGAAGGTGTGACATTAGTAAATATTTTGTAACTCGATAAAAACACGTTTTTATATAATCACAATATTTTATTTACTTTTTGGTGACAGAATAAAGTTGTGTGTTAAAACATACACAAAGCTTATTTACAGAATTCACATTTACATACAAAGTGCCTTATAATTACTTAAAATTTGATAATTTACATTATTTTTATACATTTAACATTGACTAAAGCTATCCACAAAAAATAACAATGAAAAATATGTACATTGGTAGTTGCAAAATAATATCGTTGAATACTTGTACTAAATTGAAAGTGTTAGGCATCAGACAAAACATAAATCTCCATTCTCGCCAGACCCGGATGTGATCAACGCTAACACTTATTTATAACTTCTTCGTTTCACAATTGACTGTTGCTTCAATTGACCACATCCGCCTCTGCAAATTTATTGTACCTAAGTATAAATCTGCTGATAGTGAGATCATTAGAATCGTTGCATTACAAATGACTTTCGTACGTATAACTATACCGTGTACTGCACTGAATAATAAAGATGTCGTTACATCAACAGACAACTGCGAGACAGTTGCAACACTTTCAGCACTCACTGAGATAAATATTTCAGCGGAAGATTTCCAGGAGCACGGCTTTGAAAATAACAAATCTAGAATTGTTGAAGTAAAATCAGTCGTTTAAGAGAATGAAACTTGACAGCTTTGCGAGCTTGAAGCGGCTTCGGTGGTAGAACGCGGGGGTGTCGACACGACGCTGAAACCGGAAACCAGCTTTCTAGTGTCGTGATCTTCCCTACCACAGCTTTGGGAGTATGGAGTTACATGACATGACAACGCCGCATTCTGCATAATTTAATCAGCAGCTGTTAATCTGCCCTCCGCGAAATGATTGCGATTTGAGTAAAAATTGCTGCAATGAAGCGCTGTAACCACAAATCCATTACTTTTACTATTAAAATTTGCTATATAAATTTAAAGTGTCCACGATTTTTGTAAATAAAGTATGTACGCCAAATAACATCGCCAAAATTGTGTTTTTATTAAAATTATGTTAGTGAATAGAATATTCTAATTTTTGCTTAAACCTCCAATAATGTATTGCCCTCGTAATTAGCTACGACTACGTAAAAATTTACATCTCTGTTAACTTTTACAAATCATTTTTTCACCGCGAAGAAATGCCGAAATGAGCAGCACTCCAAATAAACAATGCTAATGGCCGTTAATTACGGCGCTGATAAATAATTCAGGAGTTGTTTGAAAGAATGGAATATTTTTCAATTTGCTGCGGTGCTGCGGGCAAAATCTCGCTTTTCCTCGAGACGAAGATTTCAATCCGTAGTTGGAGGCAACTCTGGTTAAAAATCAAGTTGCTCAATCAAGGAAGCCTGCTTTATATTCCTGCGGCGTAGATGCTCTGTTGTAAATAAAGATATGGTCTCTACGCGACTTTCTCGTCTAGTGATATTGTACCTTGAGTTTGCAACACCGTCAAGCTTTTGCATTTGTCATGAAAGTTAACGCAATCTTAAAATGGATGACACGACGGTGGAGACATAATTTCGACATTGCTCAATTATGCAAATGACTTTAGAACTGGCGTATCTGAAACAGAAATCTTTTGGATGGACACTCCTTGTACAGGTTTTAACGGATGTTAATTTTTTTAAGTTGGCAATATGTTAAATCAAAAGTTATACATGTTACATTAGTAACATGACATTTATTTTTTAATAATGTAATTTAGTTAAGAGTGGAATCTATCGATAGTTGAAAACGTTGAAGTTAAGAGCGGCAAATTATTTGCATTCTTAGTAATGACACTTATCATGTATGCGAACACTGTCAGGCTCATTTATAGCTGTTGTCTCAAGTTTGCTGAATTAACTCAAGATTTAAATTCTAGCAATATAATTATCCTTTATCAAGAAAAGTGGAACAACTAAATACGATTTTTTATAGCTGCTTTTACGACACGGCCGAATGATGTACTAATTACTCGTTGTAGTTTGGACGTAGTTACAGACCTTTTGTTTAAATTAGAAACAATAAAAATTCTCCCATTTTCACGTAACCCAGCCAATTAATTTTGTCAGTAATTTGATTCAAATTTTGCAATGTTCCTTAATTAAAAATAGTTTTCTTCAACGTCATACATAAAGATAGTCTAATTTGACGGGTGTTCATAAAACGTGTCCTGGAAATAAAAAGCTAAACTTACTGAGACCTTTCTTGCGACGTTTACGTTTTGGTTAGCCATCGATTAGCGTGGAATGTACGTATATTAACGTGTAGAAATGCAGATTGAAATCGATGTCTAACGAAAACCTAAAGAGAGGTTAATCTTAAATTTGCTAATAACACAGGAAAGTTGAAAGTGTGACCGCTGCTCTTGATATGTTTGTATCAATAATAACTGTAAAATTGCACTATCAAATAACAAATTGCACATTAAATATTTAAGGGCCTCAAATAACACCTAGTACAATGATTTAAGTTTTGGAATCTGATCACAGCCGCAATGATCAAGATTGCATCCCTTCCACAACGGCTTTGAACAAACCTCTAACCAATACAAAACTAGATAGCACCATATCTCATATGATGTCTAAAAATCACAGATGAAACGCCTATAGAGTGAATTTGGTATGTCTTTGGTATACTTTACGACGTCCAACAAACATTAGAAAACACTGAACGTATCGGAGGCAACTGCAAATTCGAGGAACTTGCCTCAGCACTGATCAGATGATTGCTAGTCATCGGCTGCGAAGCGCTTTGGTCCATCGTTAAGGAATGCGGCCTAAAAGAAGGCAGCATTTTGCCGCCTTCTTCCTCCTTGGAACTGAAACTGGTTACCGGAAGTGTGGTCGTACTTCCGGTGGTTTGACACTATGTGACTATCGGCCGCAGTTCGGTGTGTTGAGTTTCTTTGTGCCTCCTTAGATCGACTTTCCTTTGGAATGCTCTGCCGCAGAGGTCGCAAGCGAAGGGCTTGAAACCTGTGTGCTTCCGAGAGTGGGTGATGAGATTGGAGGACTGGCTGAAGGCCTTTCCGCAGACTGTGCATTTGTGGGGTTTTTCACCTGGAACAAAAAGCGATAAGTCAGCGAGGGTATGGCAATTTGGGTTTTAGGAAAATATTGATTCCCTATACTAGTAGTATTTATAAACAAACCTAGAAGCTAGAATCGTCTATTACATTATACGATTTATAATAATGCAATATATTTGAATGAGACGGTGTTTAAATAACATCATATTATTGAATATAAGTAGCATAGAATACAAGGTGTTTTACATTTGTTCAAAAAAATACATATCATCAATAATTATTTTATTAGGGGTATTTATGCTGTTAGACAGCAACCTGCAAAAAAACCATTACGCAATAAGAATGCATTTACTAGAGAACAAATACTGTCTGGAACGGTACAAAGATTAGCGACTAATTTTGATGGATAGCTTTACACAGGGTACTCGCTTCGAAAGCGACTGGAGATTTTACAACGACAACACTCATAATTGGAGTAATTTGCATTTATCTTTTGCTGGACTTTATATAATAGCATGACGACGAGGGAGTTTTGGATAGAACGCGTATTTATATCTCGTATTGCAATCCTCATTATTAAATTTATTAAAATGACTACAGTTTTCTCTGGCAAAGTGTAGACAAATGTAGGAATATATACAGACATGGAAGAGTTAAGATCTTGTTCTTTCTCGACGTTTCATGACCCCTACAGATTGAAAAAATAGATCTCCCGTTTCTGTTTCTATCATCTATCGTGTGCATCCTTTTTGTATTAAATAGTCTCCAAAACTACTGGACTGACAATTGTCAAATTTTATAGGTGCCTTAAAAATATTGTGTAGCTAGCCAAAATTTGTGTGATCATCCTCACGAGCAATTTGACAACGTCACTTCAAAATCTAGATGGTAAATGCTATTTAAATTTTATAAGATAACATACTTCTGTGCTTGTTGTCTTATGCATCCACCTTAATTTTTTACTTTAGGCATCAAGATTTTCGCAAAAAGTCAAAATTGTATTACAACATTTTTTTACTAATCTAAACGCAGCGGGTTCAGCAAGCATTCATTGATTCAGTTGGGTAGAGCGTTGTGCTAATAACTCAAAGGTCGCGGGTTCGAGCCCCTTATGGGTCACTATTTTTTCTTACGCTATGACTGGTATAACAAATTTTTTTATAATTCTTTTTTTAATTTATTCATTCGATTATACTTTAGGTGGGAGGCAAATTTTGTCAAATAACATGAAATATATATATTTTTTATATCCATCGCTCTATTTAGTTATTCCCCCTTAAGAAATGGATAAAAATTCATACCAAAAATCGTCCGCCAGTAGCAACAAATCATACCTGACAGAATAAAAATAGGTCATTAATTTAACCTAAAAATCACATCGGACCAAGTACCGACGCTTGTGATACATCAAATATCCAGAAAAATGTTTTGAATTTAGGGCAATGTAGGAGAAGTACTGAAAACGTTCGGATAAACACAAAATTAAAAATTTAATGCTATTGCTATCAAAATAATAATTGTTTTTGATAAGTTATAAATGGTTAAAGTCGTTAACATATGATCTGTAAAATTTTCAATAATTTTATACAAAATGGGAATGACGGAAATGGGTCCAAACATGTTAATATCCCTTGAGTATTATCATTTTTTTACTTCCCGAGCGTAACCTAAGGAAGTATTGTAACATGGTTCATTGGATGAATGGCTACTTTCATGTTTTCTCAACATTTCAGAATACAAAAGGCCTTCCGTTTCCATCTATCTGCGATCTGTTATCTATGTGGCGGCATATAATCTCTGAAACTACTGGATTTTTGTGATATTTTCATGTATGTTAGTAGTATCATATACATGGTAGAACGCTGACTCAAAATTAGTCTAATCATGCCCAGCAACAATGATGACATCACGTCAAAATTTGTGAATAGTAAATTTTAAATTATTTTTCTAAAGTAACGTACTTCTACACTTGTGGTTTATGAATCCGTCTAAATGATTTACCCTAGCTAAATCTTGAAAACGTTTTAAGGTTATCGTAAAGACGGTAAATCGTTAATTAAAAATGCATCCGCTTGTCCCCCTCCCAAAATTGATAACGTCGCTCAAAATTTTACTGAATAAATCGTATTTAAAATATACAAAATATTATTGATTTATACTTGAGGTTTATCAATGCTTTAATATTTTTAGAAATACTTAAGGCTGGCGTCTGGTTCGGTTTCGTCTAATACTAAATACATTGAAAACATCGTCGTAGTTTCCGGAATTGCATTTTAAAAATACTGAAGTCTGCAACCAAGTCAGAATGTAAGTAAACCTGCATTCTGCTACCGCATCACAGCTCGTTTAATGCCGATTTCACGTTTCAATAGATTCTGATTTTTCGCGAGTTATTTACCTCAGTCGTGGATTTTTTAGGATTATAAATGGTATCAAAAGAAAGCTGACACTTTTCCCCAGGGGACCTCCTATCTCAGAATGCAAAAAACTTGAGCACTTCGTCAACAAAATGCATCAATGTGCCGGTTAAAATGTGATGTAACTTTCAACTTTATAATTTTTTTTTTTGTAAAGACTGCATACTAGATATGAATATAAATATGGAGGTCCCCTGGACTGAAGTTTGTTAATTCGAAATATAATTTTTTAAAGCGATATATCTCGTATTTTTAAAATGCAACTCCGGAAACCGCGACGATGTTTTCAATGTATTTAGTATTGGGCTAAACCGAACCGGACGCCAGCCTTAAACATAGTAACTCAACAAAAATATGAATGAAGTTTATTTTATTTTATTAGTTGTTTTTTTTTAATTTTTTGTAAATTTTTTATTAGTAGAAATAAGCGTGTTGATAATTCCTGAGAGTAATTTTTTATTCTGCATCAGAAAAAGTAAAAAGAATCTGGGGGTACATTATAAAAAGAGGAACCTATACCGGCTGTCGGGTCGCTACACTCTTATGAATTAGTTGGTGAGTCTGAGAAAAATAGTAAAAGAATCCTTCTCACATTTTGGTGGAGTTACAATGATTTTAAAATTGGTTCTTTTGCTATGTTTAACAACTAAACAACACATTCATTATCACAGTATGGTGTATTATTTTAGGAGCCCATGGAGATATGTCATTTGCCAAAATCGGTCTCATTTTAACAACTACCAGCCCCACCAACCCACCCTCTCCTTTCTTAGAAGGTGTGTTATTTGTCAAAATCAGTTTTATCTTAGCAAGTACTAGCCCCGCCCACTCGCCTTCTCTTTTCTTAGAGGATATCTCATTTGCTAAAATCAGTCTTATCTTAGCAGCTACTAGCCCCCTCCACCACCCACCCTATCTTTTCTTAGATGATATCTCATTTACCAACATCAGTTTTATCTTAGCAAGTGTTGATAACTAACTTAAAAAAAATGAGAAAAATTTGGAAACATTACGAATTACGAGCTTACTTATATGCAGGCAGGAATTTTGAACATCTTATCTATTGTTTAGTTAGTTATGCTTTAATGGATTTTTCTTTTGTTGATTTTATTTTTGTTTATAATTTATAAATGTCTGTTTAAATGTTTTTTTTTTTGGTTTATTTATTGATGAAAAAAAGCTTGTTCTATTAATAATAATGCACAACGATTAATGACTGCTGGTTGTTATGGTTAAAATAAAAAGTGGATTTCAGTCGCCATAGTTACTAAGAAATCGGAAAGTAAGCCGGAGGTATTCATGCATTACGTGCGGGCAGTGTTGCCAATTTTAATTTTATAAAATTACATTTTTTTTGGGACTCCCGAAACCCCCGTACATAATGTACTGAAGAGTTAATCCGCCATTTTCCAGACACTCGGTATATCAAAATTTAAAAAAAAAAGTTTCAAATAACAAAGTTGTTCGACCGTTTCGGGACTTTATACTAACCCTGTGATTTTTTTGTCAAGTTGGCAACATTTAAAATTTTATGATAACATACTTGACTGACAAAATCAAATTTAGGGCACCAAGTCATCTTCTCACCACGTCTGTAAGGAGCGTTAGCCACGCTCCTGTCAAAGTTGACAACTTTAAATTGACATGTTAACATTGCTGCCAATAATTCAGGATTGCCAACACAAAACTTTGCGTCAATCCTATGTCTAGCGTTAAGAAAAACCAAACATATTTTTAATTTTGAAAAAAATTATTGTTAGTTTTATTCTTCAGTCAAATGAAAGCAAGTACCAAAATTTTCCTAAAAAAATGCAGAAAGTAAAACCAGGGGAAAGTGTGTACTCGCGAAAAATTTAAACAAACTCGTCTTATCTGTTGTAAGTGTAATAAATATTATTAGATATCATACATTTTTGCTCCACACAAATGTTCTCCAAATAAGAATAACTAGATGTTTTCACAAAAACCCCAAAATGAGGGGTGTTATAAATTTTAAACCTTTGTATGACTTTGTGTCGGTCTATGGCATTGTAGCTCACAAATGGATGAACCGATTTCAATGTTTCAAATAACGAGTCGACCGTCGCAACGAATCTTAACCAATTTCAGACTTTTTAGGAGTTATTTTTTTTTGTCGGGGGTCTTTAATACATTAGACATCAGTTGTTACTGGCCTAGTGGAAATTTTCAAAGATTTGTTGTAGCTAAAATCATCAAACATCACTGGATTATACACAATAATTTATTAATCCCAGTCATGTACGTAAAAATATTATCAATAAAATAGTTTTGCCTAACGAATTGATTCATGGATAGTTTGGCTTAATCCAAAAAATATAAACAAATGTTTCTAATCTTTTACCCTTGGTACACTTATTAGTATAAAATTTTACATTAAAAAAAGTCCTGCTGCAATAAATAAATATCTGTTTATTTTGTTGACAAATGCAGATAGTAACTCGTAGTGAGGTGTCAGTAATAAATAATAGCATAGCATCCACAAATTATATCTAATCTGCTAATTCACAGTATACTTCAGAGTAAAATTTTTGAAGAGTGAAAACGTTACGCCTATATCCTTCAATCCTAATTCTTTAAGGAGTTGCAATGATGA